ACAAGGTGGATAAAATAAGTAAAGGTTTATTGTAAAAAAAAACAGTACAATAAGAATAAAGGTAACAGTTATGCACAAGGTCGTCGCAATTTAATCCAGTAGTGAGTGCTACTATTGGAATGTCAGTAGTTCACACGTAAGTCTGAGTCGTACTCAACATGTCCCAGCTAGTCAGTATTTACTAGCCCCTCCATCCACGAGGGTAAATGTGCCACAAGGCCAGATTTAACGTGGGTCTTCCAAGCCCATAGGCTCAGCCAAAAAATGCCCGCAGAACTCGCATAAATGGGATCAGGTTGGTCAACCTCCCCAAACGAGACTCTGCTCTTCGGCAGAGAGTTTGACCGTCCAGCTGGAACATATCGCAGCTAGTCTCTGTAGTCCGTTGACTTACAGATACTTATAGGTAGTTACTACCTGTAGTGTAGTCACTCAAGGGAGTGACAGGTTATTCCATTACATCAGTGACCTAACAATCTGTTGAGGACATTTCGATATTTCTAAAAGAGACTATATCACTTTTCTGATAACTTTCTAGAAATGGTCATGGGTTGAAAAGTACAGAGTGCAGCATTAAAAGATTTATTAGTAAATCCATGTAATTTACACAGGTTCTGCTAGTTATTAATAATATACAAATAAAATAGTATGTCTATTTTACTATTATTAGGCTACTTTGATACGTAGTCAACATTATTACTATAATCCTATGTTGCTGAAAGTAAAACTGAATAAATTATATCATTAAGTATAATACAACACCACAGTAGAGAGAATATCTCTATGTAAATTTCATTTGAAAAGTAGTTCCATATTATCAATTAAAATCTAAATGTTGTATCCACATAAATTAAAACAAAGAGACAAAAGGAGAGTGTAACATGGAGAGACATTGTTTCATCTTAGATAAAGGCAGTAATTTGTAGTGAGGGGTTAAATCAAGTTTTTTGACCTAACGATCTGTTGAGGACATTTCAGTATTTCTAAGTGACTGTCATTTTTCTTATAACTTCCTGGAAACGGTGATTGGTCGAAAAGTACAAAATGCAGCTTTAAAAGTTTATTAGTAAATCTGTGTGATTTATGACAGTCATGTTAGCATACTCTACTCGACTCTCTCGTCAAATACGACGTATGAGGGTCAAGCAGATCAGTTCCTAGAAAACCGACAGCTCAACAACAGTACATGAGACTTGATTATAGTGAAGGTTATGTGCAGGACCATCCACCCTTTTTGAAGGGCCAAATACAGAGACCTGGTGCACTACGTGCCACAGGTTTTGAATTCAGAGTAGTCCTTCTAGACCAGTTGCCATCTAAGGCTACAGAACCCGGTCTGTTCTGCTATTTACCCATAGCTAGAGGGAGAAGAAGAGGATTCACACATTTCCCAAGGGCATGTAAATGAATGTAATAGATTCAACTGGAATTTGAACACACACACAATTACAATAGGTCAACATTTCATTAAGCAGAATTTAAATGGGAAAAATCTATCCACTGAAAAAGAAATGTCTGAAGCTACATTTAGACATTAGCATAGATTGATGAGTTAGAATTATTTTAGAGGTTTTCCTTTTTTTTATGTCAATAAAATATAAGTTGTTTTTTTTTTTGTTTTGTTTTAAAAAGATACATCAAAGAACTGGAAATGAATTATAGTTTGGCATCATGCCTGCCTTACACTACTGTTCCAAGCTTTTATCTTTTTTATTATTATTAGTAGTAGTATTATTAATAATTTTCATTCAATACAAGACCCACTCATGGTAGAGGGTTACTCTGTGATGATGTATGCATGTAAGAAAAGGCAAAATGTGGAATTTATGGGATTGTGCAAGAAAGATAACAGTTAATCATAGACTTGAAGAGGTTGAAGATTGTAGGGATTGTTAAACATCCTTTCAAGAGACCGTGAGGAAGAAGCCGTCCAAATAGAATTTACTAATTAAATGAGAAGGCAATGGCAATGATTCACACTTGTGTACGTGGTATGGCAAATCCCAGTTGTAAATGTCAGGGCTGGTGTGACTGAGGAATCTAGCTCATCACAACACATGCCATGGGAGTAGCGATAGAAACGCTCGCAATGTTTCATCTGTGGGGAAAGGGGTTGTAGGGTGGAAAACAATTCATCACCCATAAGGCTACATAGATACTTTTGAACTCTATCAAAACAGGTAAGTGAGGACTGGACAGCTCCATCCCAGATATGGCGTCAATACTCCATTTTTGTCTTATCTGGCTCTTGTAGAGATAGAGTAAAGGAGGAGAAGGAGTTAGATACTTACCGGAGTAGTACAATGAACCAATCATATATATATATATATATATATATGAGTTCAACTTGGGATCTGGGGAGAGCTTAGAATCCCAATAGACATTCAAGGCAAGGAAAATTTGAATGTATATAACCCAGAGACCGGAGCGTACAATGGACAAAAAGTCATAAATATGGCAATAAAGATGAGGGCAAACAGTCTGAACAAAGATAGACACATCCTGAAGGAGGTGAAGTGTACAAGGACTGAAATGTTGTGAATATCACAAAGAAGATGAGGACAACAGCCTGAACAATGTAAATAGGGTATATCGTTACAATACCTCATCTCAGAAATATAGATAGATGTTTTAGCTTATATTAACATTGTTTTAGATTTTCATTATATTGTATTTTATATTAATTACCTTGAATCAAAAGAAAAGATCGTTTCATAAATTTAAGTGCTATAATTGACATAAAAATTACAGTTGGATTAATATCCTCATCTTTTGAGGTGGTTCCACACTCCTCACCCAGTCTAGTCCTTCTAGACCAGTTGCCATCTAAGGCTACAGAACCCGGTACAGAACCAATATTTCAACCATTGTGCACTCCAGGTAACCTGATGGAAATCTTGAACTGAGCACTTTATTCAATCTATGGAGTAGAACTTCTTGTTCTACTTTCCATGTCTAGGGATATCTCATGCCTTGTTCATTTTTATCATCTCTCAACAATAGCCTTCCCACCCCCTCCCCTCTGGAAGGTTTAGCACATTAGGTCCTGAATTTGGTGGAATAATAATTGTGAGTTCAATCCCTGGGCCATACTCAGTGGAAAACGGAACCAGGATTAATTGGATAGCCGTAGATATGGACAGTGGAATTATAACAATCTGCACAAGTAGATTAATGGTTCAGTTTTAAATTCCCTGAGGGTTAGCAGGATCAATGGATACCTGAAGAAGGCTGGAGGGCACAACAGCCGAAACGTCGTGATCATAAAGATATTAGTCTAACTGTAAATAATCATAGTTTCTCATTCCAAATGGAAATTAAATTAATTTACAATTTATACTAAAAAAAAAATAAATGGTTCTGTTTAGAGAAAATTATATTAAATTCTTTTTAGTTTGTAAAGAAAATCAATGTTCATTCCAATTTTTTGTTTTTCAATCGACGTTTACTAAATAGTATGCCTACCAGAGAGTAGCAAACTAGTCTTACTTGAATTATTTTATTTTTCTACCTGAATACTCAAGACATGTTCTTAAATAGCTTTTTCAAATCAAAACTTTCATATGGATGTCATGCATGGTACCAAACTGTTCAGAAATATCTAAAACTGTCAGCTGTATATAACTGCTTTCTAAGATCAATGGCTAAAAATTGCTTAGAGCAAGTGAACCCTGAGGGTCTTGGCAATGACTGTCATATTTTGAACATTGTGATTCTGTAGCGCCAATCCACAAATAATGAACTGTACCAAATAGCAGAGACTGCATCACTTGAGGACAACCAATAGCACATATAATTTGAAGAGAAAATAATGATATAATGAAGATGTTGACATCCCACACCACCTCAAATAAAAGGTTGAGAAGGAAACCTCAATCAATATCACTGGAAGGAGTGATAATAGCTACTGTACTTGAGAAATCTGTTTTCCTGAAAAATTGGTCAATGAATGCCAAATGTTTCCTTGTGGTTAACAACTATAACCTGTTTTTACAAGAGTTTAATGCATTAAAGGAACTCTTAAACTGACTCTGGAGATAAATCAACTTTTAAAGAATGATGTTTTAAGAGCAGATATATCATGCAACAATTTTTTTTTTCTTTTCAGCATACTAAGTCTTTAAGAATGCTCACAATGAATTTCAAGTGAGAACAACATGAGTCAGTCTAAAAGTAAAGCTTAGTTACAATGATTGACTTTGCAGAGCTTAGAGTGATTTATTAACACCAACAACAGCGTTTTCATAATTATTTGCAACCTAATTTGAAATTCGACAGTTCATACAAGTGCCCACCCATCTAGATATTGACCAGGATCAACATTGCTTAACTTTAGTGATCATACAGGAACCAAACTAAACACTTTTGTAAAAATATTTTTATGACTGCTGCATCTTTCTTTTATAATCTTGTTGGATTGTTTTTGTTTAGCGGCATATCAACACCTCTATGGGTTATTTAATGCCAAAAATCTAAATATTTTGTATGCAATTTTATGCCTTCAACTAGATATTTTGTACATACATTTTATCCTGAAAGTATAAAATTATATTTTATACATATATAGTTTGTAGATAATCCATTGTAGGTGTTTTGGCATAAACCTATTTCTTTAAAGTGAGACATTGTATTGATGTTTTTTGAAATAGTTTTCTTATGTTGTTGTTGTAGTAGTAGTAGTATTTATGTCTTGAAGGGGCTAAGTGAATACATTCATAGGTAGGTAGGTTTTCTATGGCTTAACACTTTTTGCAGGTTATTTAATACCATAAATTATTTTTAGATTGTAAGATTTTTTTTTATTTATGTATGTATGTGTGGGGGGGGATAGTAATGGTTTAATGATACAAGTCTTACTAATTAACCCATACCTAGGGGGAAGAAGAGGTGGAGTCCTACCTTTCCTAAGGGAATTTGAACATAAGTGAATATAACAGACCTGACTGGAATTGGAACTTCAATTCTAAGCTATTATCCATTATACCATCTACACGTTCAAGCTTACAGCACTCAAGATTTCCAACTGGTCACCCATATATGTACTGACCAGGCTCAATATTGCTTAACTTTGGTGACTGTATGGGATCTGGTGTTTCAACATGTAGCTGTAAGCTGAGTATATGCAGATAAAATCTGTTTCACCACGATTATAATCTTGTAAATAATTAATTGAGTAAATTGTCTTTAACACTGTAGCTTTTTTTGCCAATTTTCAAAAAAAAAAATAAAAATAAAAATGGATAAATTCAGTTATGGTTTTATAAAAATTACCGAGAAATTATTCAGTAACAGTGAAACAAAGCGGGGGAGGAAAAAAGTTCTTTTGAGGAAATTTTTTTTTTTTTTTTTGTGCCTTGTCCCTAAGTATGCCAATTTCAAGCACCACTTCTAAATTTTGGGATTTTAAATGATCTGGCACAAACTGTGGAGGGAGATAAGTTTGTTTCATTTTAGTTTTTTTTTTTAATGTTTAAATATACAGTGCTAATTCCAGACCTGATCAAAATGAATAGTCACTAATGATATACTAAAAAGATAAACTGATTTCATCACCAAAAAAAAAAAAAGTAACTTTGTTCAACCTTCAGATTAGTATTTGTTATCTAAATATTCAGTGTGAAAACAAAACAATTGATACCTAGATTTAAAAAAAAAAAAAAAAAATTACATTTTTTGTTTTTTTTAATTTTGTATGCGCTGTGACCCCAAAAGAACATCTTCAAATAGGATTAGCAGTAAGAATGTTAATGTTAATAAAAACTTCTTACCTATCCAAAGGGCAATCCTATTAACCATATTGTGTATGCTTATATGCACACACACAAAATAAAATATACAGGTGTATACACACTATATATATATATATATATAAAATTTTATGTATATTTGTACACTTTCCACTTTAAAATGTCTCTTGCAGATGCCTGGGAGCTATTCCACTTCTCTTATGTATATAATGGGAGAGCCTACAACATTCATGGAAAATTTCTCTAAATCTTTGATAAGTCTAGCCATTTTTTATTTATATATGTATGTATGTATGTGTGTGTGTGTGTATGTATATATATATATATATATATATATAGCGTTTGTTTACATTCATAAAAAAAACAATAAGCTAGAATTAGCTGTTTTCTCTGCTGAGTGATGATGACTTAGTGGTAGAAACTCTGACACCAAATCGGTCGGGTTTCAGTCCTGGCTTGAGGCATTTGGATGTCTAGTCGCACTGAGGAGCTGTGAAACAGTACTGTCTTCGAATGACACACACACACATATATACATATATATGATAAAATTATAGTTGTATGGTATGCTATATTTATAGGTAAAAGTTCTCAATATCAGATATAGAGCATATGCAAATATAAAAGTGGACACTGAGGTCAACACCAAGTGGCAACCGTCTGTTTCATGCAAACTTCAGACGATGAAAATTGTGTTCAAACACAAAACAGACTGACACCAGTGTTGACTTCAGTGCCTTATGTATGTGTAAAAATAAATAAATAAGTGTGTGTGTGTGTGTGTGTGTGTGTGTTGTGTGCTTTGTGTCGTGAATGGGGATTATCTCTGTGTGTTTAATTTTAACATAAAGACATAAAAATGGATCATCATTGAAAAGTGATCAGATCAAGAAATTTGCAAATAACAGCAGGATTTTTTTTTTTTTTTTAATCCATCTGTCTATCAGTTAAAAAAAAAAAATGTCTTTTGAAATGTCATGGATTTTTTTTTGGGGTTTTTTTTCTCTATCTTCAGACATTTGCTTTCTTTCTTTGGTCGATAAATGTCAATCAATAACCAGTTTTGAATTTCTGAGGAAAAGGGGGGGAAAAAAAATTCCTAGGAAATTCAAAAGAAAACTGGATGACAGAGCATTGGACTGGAGGCTGTGAGGTCAGCATGTCGTCTATCCCCACAGGGGAAACAGATTAGCAGAAAAAATGTTCTCTTTTTGAAAACCAGAACAGTTTTTTGTTTTTCATTTGTTTTTTTTTTTGCTTTGAAATAGCACAGCATTCATGAGACAGTAACACAAAGACAAACAGCTGTTGTAGGCGGACCCAGAATTGTAAAAATTGGTCCGGGACTTAAAAGACGGTTAATAGCAAGTTGTATACAGAAAATTGCCTTTGGATGAACAGCTGACCCCCATTGAAAGGTGAGATATGGTACTTTTAAATCGGTCTCTGGTCTGGAGTGCCAAGAGTGAGGTTTGAAAAATGCAAAACAAAACAAATCGATGATAGGGAGGTGGAAGACAGTGGAAGAAGCAGAAAGTTTCGGGGACTGGGGTTATTGTTAATTTCAAAAAAGATTATATCAAATAAGTTTTAACACATCTGTATAAGTTCAGTTGACTTACCTTTCATGGCCACAGCGTTCATCAGGGTCACCTTTTGCCCAACTTCAAACTTGACCCTGATGAGTGGTATGTCTGCCAAACTTTGAAATTGGTCAACAGATGAATCAATTGAACCTTATTAATTTATTACCTGTTCTGAGTTGCCTATTGAGCACCTTGCTGACATTAAATTCTCATAATTTCACATATTTTGATAGGTGTTATTACTAATAACACCAATGTATTTTACAGGTGAGCATTCTTTCTTGGCAGGTGTTTGTATTTTTGTACATTATTGTATTAGCCATAGATTATCATATGTAAACAATATATAAATAATTGTGTGTAATACTTTGCTTTTCTACATCAACAGAAGAGTTCACTTCAAACACATGGGCAATTTGCCCATTTTTGAATTGTGGGATTATTTAGTTACATATTGAAAACGCCCTAATACAAACTATGATCTGGAATTGGAATGAAAGCAGTGATGAACACCAACACTGAGTCCATCATAATAATTCAGGATGAGAAATTAGTAAATACTTCAAATTCCTTGGCATATGGATAAGTTCTAATAAATTTAGCATAGACGAAGTTAAGCATAGAATAAGCCACACTAGAAATAGCTTTACATTGCAAATTGCTGCAAAACCAAAATATCAACTTGAGACATGTTCTTTGGTTTTAACACTCTGCATTATTCATTATTTTCCTTTCCACTGCATTGTTTTTCAAGGATCTTCTGCACTACTTAATTTTAGGCATTGGTCATTTTTCTGTTGCCATAGCAGGATATGACAACACAACTGTAAAATTCAAACACACTTATTCATTCATCTGAGTCACTTGCAGCATCAGGATAAAAGTTTTGCTTTGCAAGCAAAATCACCTTTTAATTTTAATAATCACCTATTTTAAGGGTTAAACAGTCTCATCAGAGCAAAACTTTCCTATTGATATCATGTATGGTGCCAAACTTATTCGGAAATATCTAAGCACTCAGCCATATTCAGCCGCCTTCTCAGATTAATGGTTAAAAATGAGTGAGTGAAGTCAGTGGGTCTTGGCAAAAGAAAAAAACAAAAGAAAAAAACATCCTTCTTTCGAACATTGCGGACTGGCATTATAGAATCATAAAGAACTGTACCAAATAACAAAAACCAAATAACTTGAGGACTACCAACAGCAGAAACAACTAAAACGGATAGCAAATGTAACTCACATAATCAAGATGTTGACATTCAATATGACTTCAATACTGGAAAGAGTGATAACAGCTACTGGACTTGAGAAACCTGTTTTCTCAAAAAATAACTTTAAGAGAAAGATTTTATAAATTTAAACTGAAAGAAATACTGGTTGCTTGATCAATGAATGCCAAATGTTTCCTTGTAGGGAAACAGAAAACATTACCATTATAATCTGTTCTTATGAGAGATTAATGTATTAAGAGAACTCCTCGATTTGACTGTAAATAAATCAATGGATGGTTATGGTGAGTAATTGCCAATTACCCTTAATTTATTAATAATTATTTTAATCTAGATCATTTCAGCCAATAAAAACAGAAACAAAGTAACACAATAATTGATATCCCATGTCAGCTAAAACAATGGACACCTAAAAATGGGTAAGTGACCGAAACATTGTATCTATAATAACATCTGTATTAAGAATGAATTAAAGCAATTCCTCATCTCAAATATTGTAATATAAAATTATATTAATTTTTTTTTTTTTAAATTAGGAAAAGGCAGAGGATCAATTGATATATTTGCTTAATTTTACTTTTAGTTTAATGTTGAGAAAGTATTGAATATAGAACAAGAAAATACAGAGCAACCTGAAGTTTTCATATTAAATAAATACAAACTTGGGACACCTTGGTGTGGTGTAATGTAACTGGTTTGGTGCCCCATACATTTGGCTTTGTCTCTAAGCTTAGAAAAATCACTAAAATTACTTAATTATGTTATGATTAGCAGAATAGTGATTTGTTTATATAACTTATGATCCTAAACATTTAAACAAATATGGAACTTTTCCCCCATATCTAGTTTAGGCATTTATAGAAATGCATTGCAAATGATTTTACTATAGGAATGCATTAGAAATGATTTGAATACTAGCTTTTAGAAAATTATGGCAATTTATAAACAAATCCATCCAAACTTTCATTCCCTCTATTGATTCCATATCTAATTAGCAAATACTAAAAGCTTTATAGAAATTCATTGTGATTTTACTATAGGAATGCATTAGGTATTTGAATACTAGCTCTTTATGGAACCTGTATTATTTTATTTCCAAACTTTATTCCCTCTAATGATTCCATATCTATGATATCACTAAAAGCATCTATAGAAATTCATTTAAATGATTTTTACTATAATTAGAAATGATTTGAATACTAGCTCTTTATGGAACCTGGAATATTTAGAATTTATGAAACAAATCCTTTCATTCCCTATAATGATTCCATATCTAGTGATATATAAAAGCATCTATATAGAAATTCATTGCAATTTATAGAAATACTCACTGGAAATGAATTTTACTATTTATAAACAAATCCATCCAAACTTTCATTCCCTCTAATGATTCCATATCTAGTGATATAGAAATACTAAAAGATTTGAATACTATTTTACTATAGGAATCTTTAGAAATGGAATACCTATGGAACCTGAATATTATGGCTAGGATTTATGAAACAAATCCATCCAAACTTTCATTTCCTCTAATGAT